GGGGGGGGGGGTAGACCACCTCCCTCAGCCAGCGCGTTGATTTCGCCATCGAGGGGTTCGTGCGATTCAAATCAAACGTTCACAATCACAATCTGCCACCGAACCAGCTCGGTACGGGATCGTCTTCATCTAGAAAGCTCGCCCGCCATCCGCCGTAACTAACCTGCCGAGTTTGGCCTCTTCAAGTTATAAGAACGCCCAGTAGGTAGGCACAGTCTTCTCCGCAGGTCATGCATGCACTGCGGAGTGGCCTACCCCCAGACTCGCAGGCGCCAAGCACCCATAATTTGCCGAATGAATCTGAGGCAAAACGGACGTACTTTATAGACGATCCGCAAGTGACAGGTCCATCGAGGCATCTGCGGTCTCCCCGAGGCGTTGGTGAGACGCGATGGTGCGTGTTGGTGCGAGGTTTGGGTTCGCACTCCAATAGAAATATCCCGGTTGTTTCTGTACAGGGGCCGGCGCGGGCGGCTTTGCCCGCTTTACTCTGTCCTTCGGGCGCTATGGTCCGTTTTTCTCATATTCAGTCGGCGAATTGTGGGACCTCGACGCCTGTAAGACTCATGGTAGGCCACCCCGCAGTACACGCGTGCTGTGTAAGCAAGGTGTTGCCTACCTGCCAGGCGCTACGAGGGCTGGCAGAGCAGGTGGCAGGTTCGTAACGACGAACCGAATGGTGGACGTACTTTCTGTATGCTCCACAAACCATTCCAGCGAACGCTTGATGATCAGAATACCCAATGTGCTGCAGGGCGACTCGGGCGGGCCGCTGCAGGTCTTCACGGAGAGGAACCCCTACTGCATGCAGCACGTCGCCGGGGTCGTGTCGTTCGGCATCTTCTGCGGCAACAAGGTCCCCGGCGTCTACACCAGAGTGGGCTTCTACATGAGGTGGATCGAGAAGACGGTGTGGCCGAACGCCAAGGTCGTGTACCGCGGGCCCGACAAGGAGAACGTCACGAGCGTCCCCGACCCCTGAAGGCCCGGCCCCCGGCCACTCCCCGGCCCGACCGGCCACCCGTACGACGCGAGTGCCGCATGGGTGGCCTGCCCACCGGGCTGCCCAGCCCACCGGGCGCTGAGAAGGGAGGTCGGGAGGTTGGCTGTGTAATAATGTGATGTCCTATCCTGGACATATTTCTGAAACTCGTAACTTTTCTGCGTACATTGTGTGCAGTTTAGGTCGTGTCTTTTTAAAGTGGAAATGTCGATCGGAGTATTGGACATGTCATATCAGCTGATTGCAGTCCATGACGGAAAAAATGAGCTGAGCAGTAAGCGTGATGCACGCGTTGGCTGCCGGACCAAGGATAAAGCAATAAATTTCAATGCATTAATCGCTTTTTGTCCCGTTTCCCAGCCTGTATAAGGCGACATTATGTATAGGTCGCCGCCACGTGCCGGTGACCCGCACTCTCGAGGATGGGCCCTCGCAATGTGACAGATCCTCGTCAGGCAGTGGCCTTCGGTGGCCTTCAAACCTTAGGGTTCAACCCGGGTCGACCGCACTGTAAACTCCGCAATGACGCTTGTCTGTCGCCTTGGGGTTTAGGGGTGACGCGCGCTGTGGTGGAATTTTTCCCAAGCAAGCCCTTAAATTTCTTTTTCTATTTTACCATTTGATGAGAACGTCGTAAAATTTTGGTTTGAAGTAGCCCACATGTCATGGGGTTCTGACCCATAGTTAACAAAGTCCGCGCCAGTCAACTTTTCCCATAAATCCTGTAATATAGAATATAGTGATAGACCTGCGTGATTACGGAGGAAACAGTGTAATACTACAACACAAAACTTCACCTTATTCGCGTCACACAGAAAAAAATCTAAATCAAGAATCTGTCTTGAACGCAGATTATACAAATTTCAGAATAAATCTGTTTTCCAATTTTCTCTCATAATAAGGTGTCATTTGTTTATGGCTGCTTGTTATTACTTGCAATTTTGTAACTCGGCGTACTAGCGACGATGATGAGATAAGGGCGGGACAGAGCAGAGCGCCGGCGTCGGTGGCCTAGCCTAGTATTGTTGTACACGGACGGGGCCTGCCCTCTGCCCAGCCTGACGCAGTATTGTTGGGTAGGGGTAGGGGAAGGGGCCTGAAGCGACACGAGCGACACTCAGACGGACAGCCCCTCACTGATTCCCCTAGCGGCTAGCGCCAAATAAATTATTTTGTGGTCTCCGCTCCGCTTAGTCCTCTGTCCTAATCGAGAGTGAAAGCAAGTTGACACCTTAAAGTTACTAATTTATTCTTTACGTTTTGTCAACAGGTTTTTAAGGTATCATCATCTGCTAAAACTGTTTTCCTAGTTTTAAACGGGGGTGAAAAAGAACAAAATTATAATATTTTACCGTTTTCGATAGATCTCTACACTTTCCGATGGTCATCCAACATCCAAGCCTGGGAAATATGTAGGACGATACGAGACGCTAAAAGCCCTAAACGGCCACCAAAGTCTCTAATATTGCCTCGATGGGCAGAAGCCGACCAATCAGCGAGTTGGTCCCTTACTTTCACCTCCGCGTTTCAAATAGACTCTACCGAACTCCGGGGCGCACACACATAAAGAGTTTGGCTGGGCCTTGCGGATCTGTTGTATTGCAGGGGGCGACACTTCAAGAAAACGCCAGGTTTGGGAAGGTTACTCTCAAGTTGCAACGCGCTTCCGGTATCGTTATTCCGACGACTGCACTTGAAAGGCGTTCGAGCCATATAAACCCATGTAAACATCTGACACACGCGCGCATGCTCTTGGGCGACGTGCGCAACCCGATTGGGAAGAGTACCCGTGGGTACGCGTGTAACCCGGATTGGGACAAGGACCAGCGGGGCCCCGAATACGATTAGCGCGATACTGTACAGCGGGAGTACATATTCGGCGGGGGAGGTAGGCTGCCCAGGCATACGGTCCCCAGTTCCTCCCCGCCGTGCACCGCGCCCGGCACCCTCGCCG